CTCACCCTAAAACAACCAGTCAGAAGCGGGGGGACTAACGTGTGGCAGTGAGACATCAACACCATGGGGACTCACAGACAGAAGCAGCTTTGTTCAATGTAAACATCGATCGGAAGGGACAGCAGTCTCTCTCTCGCGCGTGCGTGCTCTCGCTCTCTCTCGCTCTCTCTCGCTTTCCATAGACTTGAATAATTTCTTTGAAAACGTAAACATATTGGAAGTGCCTTGACTGAGGTATTGAGGTATTCCTCCAAGGTTAAGGCTGTTACCGATGCAGGCTTAGCTGGGCCTCCTGCAGCAAGCTGTCGAAATCCATGGTCTCATACTTGCTTTTCACTGGAGCTGGGGAGGACTCCTCCACACTGCAATCTGCGGACAACAGGGACACAAGGCACCTGGTCAGGGGAGCGGGGCATGAGTGAGGAGGGAAACTGAGGCATGGCAGGGCACCCTGCTACCAGCATGCCAGCCTGGACGAGGCAGTGATGGCAAAAGGGAGTGGGGACGGTGCTGGCTATTCCCCACCCAAGAGGCGCAGCGGGGCAGAAGGGCTGCAGCAGTGCTCAGCCCGGCAGGTCACACCTCGCAGATGCCCATTTCCAGGTGTGTAAAAATCCGTGGGATGCAGATGAACCCCGAGACCATGGGGTGGGGTTGCCTGCCTGCAGTGCTCCCCAGCCCTCTGTCAGAAGCCGAACAACCAGTGCCACCACAAAGCCTGGGAAAAGCAGCAATCACCAGAAATAAGGCTGCCTGATTTAACAGCTGCTTAAACTTTTTGGGTGTCTATTTTTGCATGAGCCGTGAGTGGCACGGTTGTATTTCACCTCCGCCTGCGGGCTCCCCATCTTGTCCTTGTGCCAGGGTGAGCAGGATTTTAGGAACGAGACCGGCTGTGGAATAAGGGGGTGTCTGCTGGCCTGGCAGCAATGTGCAGGTGGGGAGCACAGAGCGGGGGGCAGCTCTGGTTCCCCTCACCACAGCACTGCATAATGATGTGCCAACATCTTCATCATGGGGTGCTATCTGCTTCCCATCTTCTTCGTGCCCAAAATGAGAGGCCCTGGGATTTACTTAGGTGAACAACAGGCATTTGCACCCACAGATTCAGGGGGACTGTTGCTCTGAGCAGATGAGATTATTGTAAGGTGCTAGAAGATCAGGCAGTGCTTGTATTAGACTGGGCATCTAGAGATAAGTCAAGACTTGGGGCTTTATATTCTGGGCCTAAGTCTCTCATGCATGAAGTGGAATACTAGAACCCCTTCACCCCCTGCAGAGGGTACAGAAATAAACAGGTAGTGTTCATGAAACACATGAAGACCACACAACAAGGACCAAGTGAAGCCTGGATCACATTTCTCTTGCAGGACTTAGCCTAGGGTTCCACTCCTGTCCTTTAGCTCAGGCTGCAGCCCTTCCACCCACGGAGGGATGGGGTCCGGCGAGACCTGACTAACACAGTTGCTGAGTCGAGGCAAGAGGTCTTGCAGAAGCCCATACAGATCAGAAGGAGTTAATGCAACCACAGACATTTCAGTGCTGTCATTTTGGCTCAAAAGTGCATGTGCAGTGTGATGAATCTGTCAGAGCAGAAAACCACCCGGATCACCTCTCGAGCTAATGAGATGCTGCTGACTGCTTTCTCTAATGACTGGGAAGGGACTTCTCTGCTGGAAGGCATCCAGCGCTGTGTAGAAATGCAGCGGAGACAGGAAGGGTTGTGGTCAGCTGAGACCCAGCAGCCCTGGGCTGTGATGCTATATTTTGCAGCCAACGCACTCCGGGTCCTCACCCCAGTTGCTTTTCTTCTCTCCCTGCAGTTTCCCGAGCCATCTGACTGAGCTAAGAGCAGCTACGTGAGCCATAGGAGAGCCAGTGGGCTTTTCCTGCAGGCTCTAAAGATGTCTAGGATTTTTTTTAGTGCGACGTGCCGTTACAGCTCTGTGCTGATAAAGGAGGTGCTTTTCAAAAAGCAGCTCCTGCTTTCTTACCCAAGTCAGTGTATCTGGTCCAGAAGAAGCGCCCGAGGCCACCAGAGCTGAGCTGGAAGGAAGGCTCGTTTCTCTTCCTTAGCGAGGTGCCGTTCTTCAGAGATAAGGCG